TGTGTGTGTGTGTGTGTGTGTGTGTGTGTGTGTGTGTGTGTGTGTGTTGAACCATTAGGAGGAGAGCCTTGATAAGAATAGTATTGATTAATGCTGGCCTGGTTTCTGCAGCCAGTAGGAGTGAGAGTATGTTCTCATGGTCAGCCTCCTGGCTCCTCCACAGGTCCCAAGTAAGTAAGCGTCGCCATAATACAGCTGATGAATCAATGGCATTGGCAGCCCACTGCTCGCTATATACAGGGATGGGTCAAATGCAGAGACAAATTTCCCCCTTAAAGGGATCAATATAGTATAATTAAATTAAATAAAAAAATTTATCAAATGGCCAGACCCAGGGAGCTCCCAGAATGATTTCCTCTGAGAAATCAATTCTGCCATATTACAATGTTAGCGCTGAGTGGGCTGCTGCCTCCCAACACAATGACAGCAACTGTACAACGGAGGCAAAGTTCCTTCATAACTGCCCAACATGCAGATTGTAAAGTCATGTTGTTGTCTGTTCAAAGATTCACCCTGGTGTGACTGTGAGCATGTTGAAGCTGTATCCTGAGTGCCACAGTTCCTCCTTTTACTGCTGCTGTCCAGAGAGCCTGGGAGGACGTAAAGGTAGAACCAAAGTATTGCAGCAGGCATTTCAGACCTTTATAAGACTAATAGAGCGCTGACTAGATACGAGGGGGAGAGAGATGCAACCAAGGTATATATATATCCGTATCCTGTCAGATGTACATAGAATATGAAATCTTTTTAGGCCATGAAGGCTTTGATTATTATAGAGTTTGCGCAGCCCCACCACACCATTATACAATATATGAAGGAATCAGAATGCACGGAACACTTTGCAAACTATTTCCTTTGTGTTTACTGCAACACAGTAACACTTGAGCTCAGGTCTGCTGTTTATTGAGAAGTGAGAAAGTCCATTTGTGTTGTTGCAGCAGTGGCACACAATTATAATCTATTACACACAATACCATAACATTGTACAATGATTTACAGTGTGTTATGTTGAAATATGCTACACTTTGCAGACAGTAAAAATATGAAGACTTTGGGGAATTAAGTGATGATTTGTCATCTGTCAAAAAGAAAAGAAAGAAGCAATTCAAATAACAGAAAGATGAACACACAGCACTGTGACGAAGAGAACAGATTCTCTGTCCACTAAGCTGGCCCCATGCTGAGGAAATGGGAACGTGGATACAATCTTATTCATTACTCATTTTCATTCATAACTGATCATCATATAATGCTGTGTAAGGGGCCTGCTGCTTCTTGGAGGCACTGTTTACTCTAAACATGCATCTCTGTCCTTCCTACATGCTCCTCACTAATCTCAGTGCAGCACAGATGAACCACAAGCAGTTCAGCCTCATACATGGATTCAATAGATGGAACTTAACCTGCAGCCTGTGTTGCCATGGTGATATACACTGTTTCAAAGTGAGTCATCGGTGTTGTAGTGAAGCCCAGTGTGAGGCCCAAACTGAGCCCCACGTGAGTTTGGTCCCACCGACGGACTTTGCTGATGTGCTGGTGGATGTGACGCCATCTGTTACTAAGGAGACGTCACTAGATACTTTTCTTTCTTACTGAGTCAGTGGGGACTGTTCAAGTTACACATTCGATTCTATATTCTATATCTCTCTAGTCTTCTGAGCAGCCAAAGGGCTGTATACTACATTCACACTCATATGAACTCATATTCACAGTCTTCAGCCAGGAGTTCAGTATCTCCCTCAGAGACAGAGATTCATAGATCTATACTTAGATTACCCATCTTAATTATACTGTAATGGTTGAATGAGCATGCACTTAATCCATCTTAATGCACATAGTACCCATAATCACACAATGTTCATTGTCCACATCCATCAACAGTTTACTGTGACTGGCTTTCTGGTTCAAGCATGACGTCGGGTACTTATTGTAGTTGTGGGACCACGAGGTTTTGCTGTGTAACAATGAACTAGCTTTGTTTGGGTTTTACCTCCAAACACAGAGGTCTGATCATCTCACTGCTTTTGTTGGAGGCAAAAGTACAAAAACAAAGACTTTTGACTTGGAACTGCTTCAGTCCACTTTTGACTCACAATCCGTGAGAGAGTTTAGATTTTT